TTCTAACTATCTCTATCAGCCCTCTAACCCTGGGTGTACCTCACCATTTATATATGGATTTCAGATATTACCCATTGTGGATTTCAAAATAATTTAAATCTGTTTTTCAATCAATAATAAATAGATCAGTTTTTGTTTTTAATTAATAATAATGATAAATTATAAGTAGATCAATTTTTGTTTAGTTGAGTACAGTATTTAAAAAATTGTAAAAATTGTTTTTTTATAAAATAAATTATACATATATATATTGCTTAATGAACTTTATTAAATTGTGTTTTATTTTAAATTTGTATAATTTTAAGTTTTATTATATAAGCACTTAGATTTTATTAAGCATAGAGCCAACTGTAATAAAGACTTAAAAGTTTTACTAAAGATAATTAGAAATTAGATAAAACTAATACTGTAATAAATAGACAAATCAATTACTTATTAGTTTGAGTATTTTAAAAAAAAAATTTACAATTTTGATTAATTATCACTATCTGGACTTTTATTCAATATATTCTGTCTAGTCACTAAATCACACTTAGAATATTAAAAATTCTCGAATAAAAAGTAACAAAAGGTTTAATAATTATTATGAATGATCATGAATAATCATGTGATCACATAATGATTTCTGCTATTATATAGGCTGTTATTAATAAAAATCAGACAAATTAACATTTTAAAAAAAATCTATACCTTACTTTTAACAGCTTATATCTTGATGAATTTGAAAGCTAGCTTGATGATTTAATCAAAATTCATTGATATATAAGCTGTGAAAGTTGAGGTATAGACTTTTTTTAATATCAATCTGCCTGATTTCTATTGATGGCAGCTTATATTGTAAAAAATAAAATTATATTATAACTAGATTTAATGTTAAGTAAACCTTTACTTTCATATACTAACAAAAGTTGTTCTTTAAATTGAGATGATTCTAATAATAGTAAAATCATCAAAAATGACTCACTAGATCGTCTGCAATAGTTCTTCAAAGTTTAAATTGCTATTTTATAACTTTCAAATCATGTAAACAAATGTAAACAAACATTTTAAACCTTTGAAGAACTATTTCAGATGATCTAGTGAGTCGTTTTTGATGATTTTACTATCATTAGAATCGTCTCAATCTAAGAACAACTTTTGTTAGTATATGAAAGTAAGGTTTACTTAACACTAAATCTAGTTTAAAAATATTTTTTAATTTTTACTATATAATAGTCATGTGATCACGTGAATTTCAGCATCATCCGCGACAATAATTATAGCATTGATTTAACAAATTTTGATTGGTTTTGGAGTTTGACACTATTGACCGAGAATGGGACATATAATGAGTTTTGGTTATTATCCTAAATGAGGAGGAAGTCCAGATTTCTGAACTCAAACCGTAAAATGATTTGTTCGTTCCTTAAGGTATTGGAAAGCCGGTCGGTTATTTTTAGTTACGAAATGTTGATGTTGATGTCTCATTTAGAAAGAATTTCTGGCATGACTGAAATTACCAACAACATGGATAATAAAAATAATGTGTTAAATGGATTAATTTAAATGAAACATTTTTTATATCATTCAAAAAGCTTACAGAGGTCGCTTAAATGGTCGGCCTCTTGTACCGAATCGAAGTGTCCTGATTCTTTTCGTCCCCAAATCCGCCATCCAGTCGTCTTGGAATCCAACCCTCCATCATGCAACTTCGTTCATAATCCGTTAAAATTTGACGATCATCTATCTATTATCATTTTATAAATGATTCCATATCTTCATCCAATTTGATTTACTTAAATTTCTTACGAACTAATATATTTGATTGTACCGAACTTTTCGAACGCATTTTTCAGAGTTTCCGAAAATTTTTTATTCTTTCTGGAAATAATGCAAAGATTTTACTTTCAGTGGTTATTGGATTTAATCGCTCAACGAAACAATGTTTTAAGGAGATCGCTAGTAAGACCTTCTTCGTTTGAAAGCTGATATCTATCTATCAACGCAATTTAATAATTAAATACAGTAAATACTGCTGATTCGTAAAAACAATCGAAAACACAACAGGCGTAAAATTTCGGGATCGTGCGGTACCGTATCTGTTCCGTCAATACTACCCTCTATTTAGGCGTAGGTGTTAATATAATAAGAAATAGAAACCAAGCTCTAGAATTTGGTTATATACCTTGGAGAGGATCGCATTTTTTCGCGTACCACATTTTAAACGAACGTTAAAAAAATATTTCTTTAATTGGTTTGATGATCGAAGGATTATTCTGCATAATGTTTCCGGCTATATCTGTGAAGACATTCATGTGATTAGTTAATTCGTGATCCGCCAGAGAACTAGTAACAAAACATAGTAAATAGTGGGGTTATGTTTACTATGTAAATTTTG